TGTTTGTATGTACAAATCAACAACTACAAGTACATAATATCTCGTGACGGAATAAATCAAGAGAACATTGACGTTACATCTAACTTAGTTGGAGATATAGAGCTTGTTAAAAACTCAACATACTTGTTGATGATTATTCCATTACAACGTCTTGATGTGTATCAACATGAAAAACTTATAAGATCAACAAAATATGTTTTGTTTTTTGAACCTCCCAATATTTGAATTACTTTACTTGCTTAGATCATTATGAAGAAATTTCAAGTTGTGTTTATCAATGTTTTTGACATTTTGATGAAAAATTAATTAGGAAATGCTTTGAAACTTGTGTTTGCTATTTTCATTCTAGCTTTTAATTTTCAATCATTAATCATTTTCATAAATAAGGTAAACAACTTTTTTGACCAAATTGTGCTATAGATTATGAAGCTTTAATGAACATGAAGATAAAATTAATGATCATCAAGATGATTTTCATCACATATAAGATTGCAAGGTGATGATTTCTCGCACCTACAAATAGATCTTGGAAGCTATATGAAGATTTATTTCAAATATCGTGCTTATACTAGTAGCAAAAGCAATATATCTTAGGTATTTTTTTTCATTCATTGCTTTTTCAACAAACATTACAATGAAAACGAGAAAAATTTTTGATTCGGTTTCTGTTATAATGTCAAAATATGAAACTAAGGAAAATTTTAGATTCGGCTTGTGTTATTATGTCAGAGGAATTGATTTTCAACCTAATGTAGGAGCTTGTTAGAGTTGAAATTTTGACAATTAGATTTTTGTTACAATTAAATAAAACGAGCAAAATTTGATAGCCATTTGAAGTGTTATTAAAGTACCGCACCACTTAATCAAGATCTACAATGAAATAAAAGTTGCTAGTCTATTGTAGGAAGTGTTTTGGTGCAAATTTTAGAAGCTTTTTGTTCAAGTCTCAAAAAGTAATGTAGAAGCTGGAATCAATTGGGAGTTGAAAGAGTTATAAATGAACATAAAAGAAAAAAGTCATGTGTTCAAACTACATTTTAAATCATATACTAACCTCCAATTTAGTTCTAACAAACTAAAGACGACTACATACCTCTTTTTTATAAAACACAATGTCTTTGTATCACATACGTAAAAAATTTTAAACTATCAAAGTTGCATTAACTAGAATTCTAACTATTTTTGAAGTTGATTCATATGATAGATATATTTTTTAATTGACTCAAGTATTCTATTTTAGGTTATTTATGACCTCAAATTCATTTTTGGAGTATCATCTTTACTTCAAATTTATTATAATCAGCTATCAAGTTTGAAAAAAGAGTTGAAGCTGGTTGGTTGATGAATTTTTTTTATTGTGCTATATTATTTTGCCATTGTGATACATGAAATACAAGATTTATTTTCTTACGTGAAAATAGTTTTAATTTGTATGGCACTTTAGCAACACGTGTTAATATCACTTAAGATCAATGAATCTTTGATGTTCTTACAAGAGACAAATTTGTCATAGATAAGAAAGCAAAATTTTTTATCTAAAAAATTGAATCTATGTGATGAGCATTTGTATGTTATTTTTGTCAATTCTATAACATCATCAATTTATCATTGGCTTGATGTATCACTCTCCAAATAAGCTCCACATAATTGTTGAATGCGACTACTTTGATGCAAAACTTCATCTCCTATCAAAAGCTTCATTATATTTGATAGAGTTATGAGATGATGATCATACATTAAGTAAAATGAAGATGAGTTTGTGCATGCATCGATAGAATTTTTTTCTGCAAATTTGACAACAAGAGTAAAAAGACTATATCACTTTTTTTACTATTTTAATATGAATATCCATATCATATCTTCTATAATTCTATTGAATCTTTCTGTTTGATTATAAATTTAAATACAATAAGTCGTTGATATTCTTAATTTTGTTTTAAAATACCAAAAAATACTTTTATTTTAATAGTTGAATTTTTTCTAATATATAGTAACATTCATGGTAAAGTTAATCTAGATATTTTTCATCTTTAGAGATGTATTTCATTTTTGAGTGGCCTCATATCATTATACCTAGTTTTATGTTTTGTCATTGATGCTTAAAATCTTGAAGAATAGATTATATCAAAAAGACACTAGTTAAACTATTATATAATTATATAAAAATTTAATTTACTATTTTATATGATCTTATTTGTATCTCAAAATTTGAAATATATAGATATATATATTAAATGAATTTGAAGCAAAAACGATTGGATTTACCACAATTTACACCATAGTTCACATATGAACCTAAAGTAATGAGCATAAGAGCAATGAATTTGATCATGATTGGAGTAGCAAACTCACCTTTGGTCATTATTTTCATTTTCGGCTAGTATGAAAAGTAAATCTGCCCAAAAAGTGGAATAGAAGTAGTTTCATGAATTAGAATATGCTGTTTTTCTTTACTTCAATCAAGGGTGGACCGATGAGAGAATGATGTTTGTGTTTATTTCCAGTCTTGAGCGTAGTGGAACTCAGGTGAGTAAACGCGTGGAAAAGTCTTTCTCTATACACCCAGCCTTTTGAAATGCTTATATGTAGATCTCCGGTATGGTGACTCTGCCTTACCACTTTGAGAATGAATGCAAAAGAAAACACGACTTTTTAGGCCCAAGCAAAATAGCGATTGTGGGCCTCACGTAACTCTCCAAGTGTAACTTTTGGAATTAACATCTAAAGTTAGCTTGATCGTAGCTGCTCCAACTCGAAATCACCTGCATCAGTTTACAAAAACTGACTAACTTCATCTTTCAATCTACTTTATAACCTACTTGATATATTGTACATTGATTCAATTTTGAATTTTACTTTATTATTCTTCATTATTTACATGCATGTACTTATATTGAAAATTTTTACAAAATAATGTACTCAAAATCTCATCAACAATTCTCATTTTGAAAAAAAGAATATAGTTAATAAGAAAGGTAGAAAATTTATTGAGAAATTGGTCATTTAGAAACTTTGCAGCAAATGAAAGTGTACGAAAACTAACCAACTGCAAATTATGAAAATCTTTTATGATTATCTTGGATAATTAGCATCAGCCAGTGATTTGTCACAACTGAGTTTATATAATTTGAATAGTTGAAGATTAATATTATTGAGTATTTTTCTTGTAAAGAAAAAAATAGTAATAGAAATATGAGTTCCATAGATTATTGCAAAATCAGAATCTTGCGCGTATCCACACTGTGTTTTCTTTGCTGTTTTAATCTACATGAACTTTGTAAAAAAAAAAAACAATACATATGTATTTTTTCCTAATTGGAGCAACCTTGAAAACTTGCGAATGAAACTTCAAAAAGTGTTGTACACAGAAGTCAAGATCTGTTGTTGACAGTCAGAAAGATTCCATCTAAACCAGTGCATGTGTCCACTACTGCTGAATCGTAAGTCTTTTCTAGAGTTGCTTTATTCTCCATTTGTGTATATCACCATGTTGACCTCTATGTATCTTACGCAATGCATGGTTATCATCAAGAATTACAAATGTATATGGTTATATGTCAAAACAAAAACTTTCTGTCAGATTCCATCAACGTTTTCCTTACTAGAAGAAAGTGTTGCCCGATATGATTCTTTATTTAAAAATCATCAACTGACACCAGTTAATTCCTATGAATTACTTCACCTCGAGACAATTGTAAGAAGCATTGCATGTTGACGGAAGTGAAGCTCTGGGTCAAATACGCGGACTTTGCGCTTTATAAAGCAAGACAGTTGAAGGACCCACTCCGATTGTAGCCAGCATAATTATGGTGACTGAGATTTTCATTCTTCTACACCCGTATTAGCGACAAACTCAGTGGAAGCAACCTTCTCCACTATACAACTCGTACATTGCTTGCAAGGATATCGAGACCCATTCTCATGTGACTTGATGTGTAGGCTTAATCTGGCAATTTGTTGCATTCAGTGAAGTCAGTGATCTTGAGGTGATGATCAAACCAGTTTTATCTTAGAATCAAGATGTAATGAAAACGCTAGGGGCTCCAGATGAGAGTCTTGCGGAGGAAATAGGGAGTGAGATTTTGAAGGTTGACTGGATGTGACAAGTTCTCAACTTTGTCCCGCAACAATGCAACTCTACGACGTGATAAACTAGCAAGAGAACTCTTAGCACGGACAAAGCTTGATATCATTTTACCTCCAGACTCTGGAATTAGAACTGTGCATGTGCTCTCATGCTCCACAGTTGAGCTATAAGTAGCTAGAGAAACAATCATACCAGCAATGAGTATTTATACACTCTGTACACAGTTTTTCGACATTGTGTTTAGTGAACTACTCAAAGGCTGATCAGTTTGGTCTGACCCACGAGTTATGTAGACTACTCTACCGATCTTGAAAGCAAGAAAAAAAACATGATGTTCTGTCAGCCAAGCTGGCAACGCATATGCCACTCAGTTGTCAGAAAGCATTTACTTGCTCGAGTACATTGCAGATTCCAGGAAATTGATTCCATGAGGATAAACTCTGAAATCTCCTTTTCAGCGTGACGACATCGATTGTATCGTCGCACTGATGCATTCACCCACATATGTTAGCTTGCACAACAAAGTCAAGATCTACTCCCACCTTCTAAGACCATTTGCCAATCACACCGAGTATGGAAGAACGCGGTTGTTTCGTTCGAATATTGTCGCTATCTCGACCGCTCACACAATCGAATGACAAGATCTGAGTGAAAACGATGCCTGTTTTTTCCACGCGCTACCCATTGTAGGATCTGTCCCCACGTGATTCGCATACTCCCAGTCCAATTCTACTTCCAGTTTTCACATCTCAGAGTACTTCACATCTGGAATCTGCATTTATCATGAGTTCCATGACGTTTTGCGTCCAGATCCCGCATCTTTGATACGGACTTGTCTTGTGGTTTTCTGATGGGAGCTATCAGCTTGTCCACTAACTTCGGTCACCAGTGCACATAAAACGCCTCTCTCCTTTCTAGCCCACAAAAGGTATACGATATCGAGAGACGCGAAGTCCACTTTCCACATGCTCTCCAATACCCGTGGAAACACCGTACAACTTCTCACCGTTCATTTTGATTCACATCGCTTGCTGTACCCTCCCCTGAGAGCACAATTTTACTGCTTTCCTTTGTATTTGTATGAGCAGAGGTTGTTGGAGTACTCTGAGTCACCTCTCTTGCGCCGCGCTACAAGTCTTATGCCCAGCACGCACATGCATTCTAGTTGTGACACTGCGACGGAGAGTTTAGTTTTCTTCGAGTGAACTGGGCTTGCGGATCCAGTAGGGGCGTTGTAAAGGCTCCGTTACAATTTGCTTGTGCTTGCGAAGTAGTTCTTTCTCTCTGAAAGTGGAGGACAGAATGGAAGGGGCAGGTGCGTCCATGGAGGGTCATCTTCCTGAACATAGGATATGGAAAACGGACTCCTCGGACATAAAGCTTCCCTTCGATGTTGAGGACGTCTTATGGCGTTACGGTGACATCCCTATACCGTGGCTTCCCACGTGAAGCGGGCCAGAAAGCCAAGTGCGCCTTGGAGTGCTGGAGGCAATCGGCAACTGCAACACCTATCGAAACCTGTTCGTAGAAGGTGATATATCCAGGTTTACCGCTAGCGAATGGGAGATAGTCTTGAGAGGTTTTATGTCTAGCACCGCTCTAAGATCGCTTTCAGTTCAAAGTTTGACGTGGACATCAGTTGCGGAAGTGGAGAGCTTGTGTTCACAGCTGGGGACGATTCTGAGTACGTCTAGTGTAACGGAAGTGTGGATTGAAGATTGCAGCTTGAGTTCCACATGTTTCTTGAATCTCGCATCAGGACTGCGAGAAAGTGCCCAGTCTAAACTCAACTTTTTACAAGTATGGAACGCCTGGGCGGACACGAGTGCTTTGAAGCAAGTCGCTGACATGATAAACAGTGCTGCTCGATTAGAAACTTTGTGTTTAGGGGGTGAGGTGGATCGCATGGTCGACATGGACGAGGAGGCCACTCGAGCCCTGTCCCAGGCTCTGATCCAGAGCTCGTCTCTGAAAACATTGAAAGTGCGGAGTCCGGCATCCGTGAAGGGCGGAGTGTCGGCATTGAAAGTGCGGAGTCAGGCATCTGTGAACTGCGGGGTGTCGGCATTGATGCTGAATGCATTCGCCGGAGATGGTGGCAACCGATCGATCGACCGTCTTCAGCTGATTGGAGTGTCTGGACTCGGGAACTTTCTACCGGAACTTTTTACTTCCAACCGATCATTGAAGGAAGTGGAGTTCACCGCCATGGACGTGCGTCCTGAGCAATGGGCCCTGTTGTGCCAGTCCATACGAGATAACTCTACAGCAACAACTATTAATGTAGTGATTTTCAAGGATGGAATCTCTGGAGCAACCCTCGAGGAAATAGAAGAGCTTGCGTGTGCGGCAAGCTCCGATGTCAAGGACCCCGTATTGCATCTTCAAATCTATGCTATGGATTACGATGTATTATTGTCTGCATTCAACCATTTAGGCAGGATACTGCGCGGTGAATTCAAATCTGTAAAATCTTTTGATCTATTTCCAGCAGTTTCTTCCACTTCAGGTAGCAACCAAAAGAGAATGAAGTGTATCCATCCGAAATTGAGAAATACTGGAGGAAGTTCAGACCTGAATGAACAGTTTTGGTGGATGAGCCAAAGAATTGAGAAGGGAATATGGAAGGAACTGCTCCTTTGCTTGCGTGGGAACACAAGTGTCACTACCTTGGATTTGTTTTTTAGTCACCTCAAGCAAGAAGAGTTCATGGACCTGATGGAGCTATTGCAAGTGAACTTGACTCTCCAGTACATCGATGTCTCCAAGACCCCGTGGGGAACGGACGGAAAGGCGGCGCTGATTCAAGCGGGCCCTAAAGCAAAATCAGAAGATGGACTCTTCATGTCTTTGTTTAGAGAAGCCAAATTAGCATTTGGAGATGCAAAAGCTGGTCAACTCTTCTTATGCGGCTCTCCTAGAGCAGGTAAGGTGCTCTCAAATTTTTCCTTTTATATTATCATTGTGTTCAAACTAGCAATCTAAGGTCTTGCGTTTTTACAATTAATTTGAAATTGTAAAGTTTATTTCTTTATCTAGATATATAGATAGGTGTACTACAATAGAAGAAATTTTTTTTAAAAAAAATCAAAACAATTTTTTTAACTAGTTTCAATTCTTCCATGGGAAATTAGAAAAGATCTACAATCCAATTTATCTACACAATATTTTATGAGAATCTCATATCAATTTTTTTAAAGATGTCATAAATAACGCTTGCTTTTTATTCAATGTATAGGCAAGACCCAATTGCGTCGAACCCTGATGAGGATAATCCAAGTCAAGAGTTGGATCGGGAACAAATGGGATGAATTGTGGAGGACCAAAGGGATTGAAGTGGAGTTTTTGCAGAACAATGACAAAATGCAAATCTCAATCTAGGATCTTGCAGGACATTGGATTTTTCGTACCCTTCAAACTGTACTCTTTCCTCAGACTAACGACTTTTGTGTTTTTCTTTTTGTGTATAGCCCATTCTGTGAGGAAACATCTTCTCCCAAACAAGAATCTTGTTTTAGAACTGAGTTGGAGGGCTGGCTGACTTTCATTGCATCCAGCACTAAGGTAACTGGTCATAGTCTTCCAGAAGTTCTTGTTGTAATTTCACACAAGGATAAGATGACATCCAGATCTTTGACTTGGGCTTGATCCACAGTGGAAGAACTCAGAAAAGTATTTTCAAAGTGTGTTGATCTCCGCCCTATTGAAGAGTGTATTTATGTAGATGCTAGGAAAAAGAAACAAGTGATTCCTCTCAAAAATCACATTTTTGATATATTTGACAATTTGTTGAGTGAAAAATCCCCACAGGTTCCCCAATTGTGTTTTCAACTGTCTTCTCTCCTGCTTTCAAACATCAAAGAGAACAAAATCTGCCCTCTTTGGCCATTAGAAAAGTTTCATGAATTCTGTTCTCCTATCTTGAAACAATTCATTCCACTATCTTTTGCTCACTCGGTTGATCATTCAAAAATTTTATCCTCAGTTGTATCCTATTTAAATGATGTTGGATCCATCATTTATATTCCCAACCTTGATCACATAGTCGTGGATCCGAATTGGCTCACGAATTCATTTTTGGGTGACCTGATAGCTATGGGTCAACACTTTCAAGCTCAAGAGTCCAAGGATGAGGAGAAAATGAGGTCAAGGGACTCATACACAAGCAAGGACGGATTTGTGAGTGAGAGTGTCTTCAGTCGATTGATGGACACGTTCTTGGAAAAGCAATCACGGCTTCAAAATGTTGACAGAGAGTTGCTTGAAAAGATTTTTTTTAATTTAGATTTGTGTTTCAAGCTTGAAGATACTTCTCAATACTTCATTCCCTCCTTCATCCCTGAGGAAGAACGGGCGCACGTGGAATCGATGACATGGGACTCTAAGGTTGCGACTTCACAGTTTGTCAGCATTTGGATTCAATGCGAAGATCTAAAAACAATGACACTGACTGCTGACTTTTTTCCACGCTTCCAGGTGAGATTGAATCATGAATGCATGTACCTTGTGAACATATTGAATTCTCAAAGTTATGATTCTAATTTGTGAAGGTGAATAAGTTTTTGTTTTATCAATAATTATATCAAATGAGTAGATAGTCTCATTCGATTTTTTGTCATTGTAGGTGTTCATGAGACGCAAGTTGATATCCGAGATGCATGTTTCCAAGGAGACTATGACATTCTCTCGACACTATCTGAGACTTTATCTTGATGGACACCAAATCTATGTGGAGCACGTTCAGAGTGAGAAGTCCCACAATTATGTAGATGTTTTGATGTTATGCTCAAAGCATAAATCAAAAGAGGTGGCTATCAAATATGCCTTGAAGCTTATTGTCCAGGAGTTGATATCATTTTGCGCATCATTCAACGGTTGTCCCGGGGTGGCATTAGTGCTTGATGTTATCCAAACAACGTGCGTGGAGTTGCTGATTCCGATTCATCTTAGAGGAGCCATTTTGATTGAGGAGCTCAAATCAAAGTTCTCTATTAACATCAATGATAGAATTGGGATTATTGGGTTGGATTGGTCGCAGTCGGTGGAGGAAGAGTTGCTCCACCATGAGTATACTTGGCCCCCGATTCAAAGTTTGCGATTAAACGCAACATTCGAACGGGCTACGAATCTGCTGTGGGAGAGCGATGTGAATGAGATCCGACATGAGATCCGACAGAAGCACATTCAACAATTGGAGTCATTGCAGCAAAGCCTTCAGCAATCATTGAACAATGATTTGGCTCAGTCTCACTCTTAAAGTGAGAACACGGATAGCAACTCAAGTTTACCTAACATAAAAGACTTCAATCCAGCTTCAGCCAAGTGCTTGACACGGGCCAGCACAAGTGTAGAGTATCGTTCTCCCCTACCTGGGAACAATATCGATCTGCTTGTACAAAAGATTGATGGTTTAGATGAGAGGTTCATATTGATTGAGAGCATTGTGCAGGGACTGGATGTGAAGATGGGATATATAGTCTCTCTACACGACAACTACGGTCAACGTTGAGTTCCTTCATGTCTGAAGTTGATAGGATAATCGGTTATTCAGAATTGCATCAGCAGTCAAGAACGCCCAAGCGTCCTTACATCACGAACGATGTTGGATTTTTCTACCGAATGAGTGCAAGTCTGCATCTGGGAACAACTGTTCGCTTACGGTTGATGTGTGAGTCTGTCACTGGCTTTCACACCGTCAAAGATCAAGAAGGTTTGAAGTTGCGCTTGGATCGAGAGAATAGCGGGTGGATTCCAACAATTATTGAGATTTCATACAAAGTACTGTATGCTGTAAAGACTAGAGTGGATGTGATCCTTGGGGTAGGCCAGGCTATTCCGGATTGGGATGCTTTAAAAACCAATATTGTTAAACTAGATTCTATTAGTGATATTGATCGTAGTGCAATTCGAAAAGGTGGACATAGTGAGCAGCTGAACGAAACATGGTTGAGGATTCAACAAACTCTTGCGCCTCAGCTTAAAGATAGCTTTTCCAGAATCTTCAACTTGTATCTGGTGAAGTACGTGGGACAACAAAATGATGGGCATGCATGGGTGTGCGCGGACTGCATGCATAAAGCTAAACATGCTGGAAGTTTGACATTTTAGGATTTTTCATAGGTTAGAATGTCATTATGCAATTGACAAGCATATGTTTAGACCCTCTTGCAATATAATCCTTTGCATAATCTTACTTACAGTTTTCACTGATACATGCCTTTTATAAGTTATGTAATTATGTCAATCCGCCCAGTTATGTTTTTGAAGAAGATCCGTATTTGGTTGAATATCAAGATTACTTTTTGAGGGCAGAGTATTCAGTATGTCTTGTTGCAAGTCTCACTATGATTAAATGCTTTTGATTGAAACGTGGGGTTGATCACGTTGAACTTTGAAGCTAATTATCCACTAAACCGAGGAAGTTAACACAATTTAATAACACAATTAGCCATTTCAATTTTTTTTATTTTTTTATTTTTTATTTTTACTTTACCTGCGGTGCTACAAAAATACTTGGCAAGGAGCCCCACCAGAAAAATCCTGGCTATGCCACTGCATAGATATACATAATTGAATGATTCTTCTGTTTTTGCATGATGAAGGTCCAACAATTGTCTAATTGACAGAAATAAAGATCATATTATGATTTTAAATTTCAGCAAATAGTAATATTCTAAACAAAAAATAGAGTATGATATCTTGTTTTAATGTTGAGATAAGGTTAACATTGTGAAAAATATGTTTGAATTTTTTTTATACCCATGAATATCAATAATATTGCTTTATAGGTTTTATTAATTTAAAATGATTAAATTTTTAAATGATCATTAGCTTGAAGTGATTTCACAAATTAAAGTTCAAGTTGCAAAACTATTCTATCTTGAACATTTTGAAATAACTATGCTTTGATAACAATTTTTCTTAATATAGTGATGTAAAAATATAGCAATTACAAATTTCATACAAATAGCTAAAATTCATATTGGAAAGATATATGATGTAAAATTCATAATTTGATACATGATCATTGTGGTAAAAGAGTAGAGTTCAAATTATTCAATGAAAAATAGATTTTACAAATGAATTGAGATGAATTGAGACTTTTTTTGTGTAAAATCATTAAATGATAATCTTACTTATGAATAATGATAGAGTTTTATCTACTTATTTTTAGTAAGGAGTGGTGATTTTTCATATGTCTACAAAATTACTTTATGATTTTTATTTTAACTTATTATTCATTAGTTTATCTTATTAATTTATCTTATTTATTTTTTATGATCAAACTATAAATTTAGAAAATTATAAAAAAAATCACAAGAGTTACTATTGATTAATCATATCATTTTTCATCATGCTAATTGTGAGATTTATCAAATAGACAAATAAACCTGTTTGCAATTTCAATGAAAGATAGAAAATTGTTCCTTATAATTTATGACATAATAATTCATTGCATATCAATAGTTTCAAATTTTTTATTTAATAATGAAATTTTTTTGTTGTGATATAATGATTGTTTATATTCCATATTTTAGTAATATTTAATCAAAATAGAAGTGTTGTAAAAAATTTAGAAAGTTGTTTAATCTTCATTATGATTAACATCATCTGTAAGTATTTATTGAAAATCATGATTTGTTAAAATTTAGTTATCCCAATCGAATTTTCATTTTTTATTATCTTACACAAGATTTGCATTCACATGTGTCAAGCATGAATTTATTAACATATATCAAAAACCATATCTTATAATATTTACAGATTACTATGTATTTTTTCTAGATTATTGATCGTCTCACTAATTTATAACTAATGATAAAAAAAATTTAAAATATTTTTACCAACCTATTTTGAGTATGATAATCTCGAATTTTATAATATATATTAAAAAAAACTAAAATTAAAATTTATTTCTATAAAATATTATTTAAAATTTTTAATTATATGCGTAAGTTGTATGATTTTGATTTAAATTTAACATCAATGATATGGGTCATGAACCTTTTTGTTCAAGAAATCTTATATATTTTACAAATCTGATCTAATTATGATCTACTGGTCTAATATTTTATGAAAAATTGAAATTATAAGCTTAAAATCATAAAAATCAACATCAATATCAAAATAAATTTATAAATTGAAAATTTTTGTAAATAAACCCAAGATCTTGTGGAATTTATCATCTTTCACTTTATACTATAGAAAAATGTGTATAATGTATTATAAGTTTTTTTATGTAAAGTTTTATTGATAAGTTCATAATGTTTAAATAAATTAATTTTATACTAAAAAAATTATTTTTCTATCTTAAAACTGAATAGAACAACTTTAGATTCATATAATTTAAAATTTAGATTTTGCAACCAAATTATTACAAAGAAGTATAATTATTTTTGGAAACTTTTTTTATATGTGCAATAAATTTTAACCCTAAAAGTATGATTTAAATAAATTTGCAATTTAATAGATTGTGTTGAATTCAGTAAATAAACATGAATAGTCTTTGCTAAATAATTTTATAACATGATTTTTTGAATAAAAAATTTATTTTTTTTGAAATATTATCAAATACAATTGACAATTGTGTCATATTTGTTCATTATATTTGAAATGTGATGCATATAATTTTTAATCAAATGAAATTTATTTTAGATGAATCTTAATTTTGGATCCAAGACATATGAACAGACCTCTATATGACTATTTGTGCATAATCAAAGTAAATAAGTTACACATACTAAATGAAATTAGTCATGATTATGCATCATTGCTTACAAAAAATTTGAGAAAATAGAAAAAGCTTGCTTCAGATTCTATTGAATTCAATTCAATGTTACAAAAGAATGATTCAATTTCAACAAGATATGAAGCAAGAATTCTCTCAAAAAACATAATTTCTCAATTTTATTGTTTCAAGGTGCGCAACAGATCGTATTGTTTACATTGGAGAAATCCTTCCAAAGAAAAATATGTTAGTGACATGTTAAACACATCATTCCTGAATTTCAACATTGAGAAGTCACTCTCGACAGGAGTTGTATTTGGAAACGGTGAACCAAGTACGCCAACAAAATCTACTAGAAAATTGAAACGACCTGATAAACATGGGAGTGATCACGCATCATCAAACGAACACTGATGATCACAGAAATCTATGGCTTCTTTACAAGCCGAGACAATATTGTACATGGTATAAAGCTTTGCAAATTGAGATCCAATTTATTCAATTTTAGAGGAAGACCAACTATAATCAAGACGAAACTTCTGTTGAATAATAAGACGACTTATATGACAACCTTTAAGTTTCACTAATTGAAAAGGATACATGAGTGGATAAAGTATATCGCTGCTTAACCCGCGTTCATCTCGCAATGCTACACAATCTACAAATCCATCAACAATGTCAAATATAAGTAACACAACATTCCAAAGAAATACTTGCCAAATTGTTTCGCTGAGATGGTTGATTGTAGTCAAAGCAAAATACCCAACCTCTTCAATGAAACTAGTGATGTCAATACAGGAAGTGAACCGATTGTTGCGGATGATATAAATGAATTCGTCCACATTTTCACAGTTGGAATTGCGAATTGCATCGAACCTAAACAATAACTCACCAATTAGTAGTTCAACATTTGTTTGTTGTTGACTAAGCGTCAATCGATGACCTTGGAGTCTCATCATCGTTGTATGTATAGCACTTGTGATGCTCATTGTGACATCATTTAGAACCCACTAGATTTCACTTTTAGGTGTAGATGCGTGCCGAGAAGAACTCATTGGAATTTCAAAATAATGTGCATTGATTTTGTGATGATGATGATTCAACCAACTTGTAGCACTAAACATGATGTGCCATCTAGTCGCAGATGTCTTGGGACAAGATTTCACTTGGAAATAAGCTTTTGTTGTCGACGCAGGTGCGAGATCATAGATACCTAGTGTTGCATACCATGCACTTCATTCAGCTTCAGATATGACTCCTCTAGCAAAATGTTCAATTTATGGAAACTACACCACACACGAATGAAACCTTTCAGTGAACATTGTTTAAGACACATGATAACACCCGCAACATGACTAGTTATGTTTCTAGCTCCATTTGACGATGCATCAATTAATTGATTTTTCCAGCTACGAGAGTACATCAAATAAATTGCACATAATTTTAAATAGTGATAAACCAGTATGAGATACGTAAAATGAAATTGATATAAGATGCAAATTATAAAGCTGTCATCGCCAAATAAAACGATCACGAATATCTATGTATGAAGTAATCATGCAAGTTTAGGCATCCACAACGATAGAGAACGTCCACATATATTAGAAATGATCTGAAAATTGGCACTGCATTGGACACGTACAAATGTAGCAATTTTCAAATCATTCATCTCATCTAGCTTGAAAATCATGGCAACTTTCTTTGTTGCTTGAAGCGCCAACGCAGTCTGTTTGAGACTAATACTAATGCCAATGTATTTAATTGCAAGTTGGTATACCATTGGGGTTTTGATAGTTATAGAATAGTTTTCCATGTGAGTATCTAGCATGAATACGCCCATTGAGTTCTCATAGGTTTGGACCTCAAAATCTTTGAGAGCCCATAATAATCCTTTTATGATAATCTCAACTATGCCATTCTCAATGGTGTAGGTTACATGGTCTGTATCTCTATCAAGATGTGACAGGATTGTGTTCGAAAAGTGTGGTACATCAATGTCAAAGAAAATCATCTTACTTTCTTTAGAGAATGTCTGATACTCTTCCCAACGAATCAGATGCTCGCTTTTGAGATGAATGCGGTAGTTCTCGGAACAAAACGCTGGATCAAACGTCTTTGTGATAGCTTTTTGACGTTTTGCATCAATTTTGCTCTTCAGAACAAATGTTGTACATAATTTGCATGCAATTGCACTGATCCGACTCGTGACAACATCTCGTTCTAAAATCATATTCCTTGTGATGCAGCAAATTGAAAGGTGTCATGCACGTCAGCACCGCGTTCGACCGTTTTGCTATTCTAGCCATTTGGAAATTTTTTGCTCTCAAA